AGAAGTTTGACACGCAAGCCTCCGTACCTTCATAATCTTGGAACGGCTGATATGGAGCACCATCACCACTGCCTTAAACTCTGGGCCTTTGATGTGATCGATGATGGAGTTGAATCTTAAAGACATATTTTTCCAGTGTTCTAACTCACTCAGTGGCCCTGCAGAATCAACCTCTTTCCTCAACAGATCACTTTCTATCAGGACCTGGTGATTATGGACACAGAGAATGGTTACAAGTTCCCTTTCCAGGGCAGCAATTCAATCAACGCATCTACAGTAAGATTCATTTAGGAAGTGATATGCTTTAACACTTCAACATATAGATTGATTCACTATGGAAAATCTTCCATGTCCAGCGTTATTAACGGTTTACATTTATATTTTGTACTTGTAATTGTTGATACTGGGAGAAACCGTGTTGTGACCGTCTGTTAGTGTAATAACAATAAAATCATAATTTTACCAACCTTCTCAATTTGCTTATACCATTGCATCAGAATCTCTTCCAGTCTATGCACCATGTCCAAATTAGCAGCGGCAACTTTCATGTCATCAAGAGAGGCCAACGTAGAGAAGTCAATATCTGTGACTGTGTTCAGATGAACAACACTCTCATTGCTCTTCTGGATGTCTGGGGCACAAACAACAAAGATAAAGATCATGTCATTTCCTTAAATGCCACCATTTGTTTACAACAATATCATTGTTAACAGATAATGCAACAATTGACAATTTCAAAGCAATAAAGTGTGACTTGCCAAACAAAATGGTTCAGACATGGTACTGCTTTAATGTCTTCTCAACATCAAAAATAATGTAACTGACAACTTACTGACAACAATAAAAGAATGACTTACCATCTAAGGAGCTAATATAACGTTTTATGGTGTACTTGAAATTCTTTTTTAAATTTTCTCCATGTCTAGAGTTATTTAAGACACCCCAGTTTTGAGCTGCGTCAATAACTGGAAGCACAAAGTTGAAGGAATTCCTTATTCCTTTCAGGAGGCCATCTCTGGCATCGACCATTGAGAAGAAGATTTCCTACAAAGCATCAAGATAGTATCATCCATCGCGTCACCAAACCAAAAGGCAAAAAAGCAAAATCTAGCTTAGGACTAGTTACATGGTCTTCAGCAGTAATCATCTACCTAACTAATGCAAGTTAGTTGCAAAAGTTGCCAATGTTTCAAAATGAATACAGGAAATGCAGATTAGCTTATGAGTAAAATTAGCTCCATCGTTAAATAGTATTAACAGCTGTTGCCTCCTCAGACATGATAGCATCAACTTCAGCAATCTTACAAGCACTCCAGCAACATGATGCATTTAAATGGCCTTAACTCAGTTGTCATGGGACTGATGGACTTGACATTTTTCACATTGTATCCTTTTATAAAGCCCCACTATTCCCAAGATTGGAATTTGCATGATCTCGATCAATCAATGATCTATAAAGGTGTTTTTTCAAAGTGTAGATCCGTATTTATGATAAAAACTTCAACACTTTTTCTATTAGGAAGATTAATATAGAGTTGTTAAGCCTTGGTGGATTTCTGTACTCTCAGGTAGCCTTCTGTTTTAAAGATATTTTCTAAAGGCTTGACAACATACATTCATGTTTAACTGTTACATACTGTATGACTAATTTAGCACACAAAGATCAATTCTGATTAGATAATCCTCTAAAAAGGGAGAGGTGCATTCAACTTATGTAATAGTCACAGCACTGGGGGTGCTAAACTCACAAAATAATGAATGTATCTTTTACCATAAATGATAATTCTGTCATGCCCATTCAACAGTGATTTTGTTTGGCTATTAAAATATAATAATTCGTTAAAATGTGTCCATTACACAAAACAATGAACATATTACGATTACAGAGACACACTACTATATACATACATGTCTTACCTCATGTATGTTTTCTGGATTCACAGGAACATCCACTTTACTTCGTCTGAAAGTGCAGCAAATGCCTGTAAGGCATGTCTGAGACAGATCAGCTAAAAACAGCCTCAGTATTTTCTCCCCGTTGGTGGTCCCACGATATGAGCGTCCACACTCTGAAATGATATTAAATACAAATTGTTTTTAATGAGATGAAAAACAGTAATTGATACGGATTCTGATTGAATATCAATCATGTAATGCAATTATGCCTACCTATTCCTGGGATTTCAGCCTCTTGATACACAAAGGAAATTGTTTTACAACCTTCTTTGCTGAAGAATTTATCAAAAGCATCCAGCTGTTGAGCAAGAAAACAAAAAATAAATGTTTTTTCACTGTTTTTAACAGTAATGGGTTACTAGTCATAGTAGTAACTACAAGACCCACTGGCAGACTGAAATGCACCAATATGATGTGTATTGGTTGAAATGGTGCTGCTTTTAGTATAATAATACCCACAGCCATGTGTAGGCAATTTGCAACAATGCTAGAATCATAAACCATTCAACCGACCATGCTATCATATGATGTTCTGACAGAGTGAAGCCAAAACATGTGAACTTGATCCAGTCGATCTATCTGGAAAGTAAAATGAGAAAGTACAACTGAACCAGATTTCTGCCAGATGAAAAAATGATCCCTTATCAATGTTGGGTCTTGGCTTTCTCATTTCTTTTGTTCAGAGACCAGATTGTGACTGCTGAGATGATTAATTACCTCTCTTATACCCTTATCCCACCAAATGTTGTGTCTATATGCAAGTATTTAACACATGGGAAAACACACTAAAATGAAAATGTTACAGTCGTTACTTCTTTTGTTTTATTCTGTTACTTATTCAGTCCCTCTTTCAATCTCTCACCAGAGTTGGGATTGTTGGAACAGTGAAAAGAATAACAAGATGAGTCTTATTTTGTTTCTGTCGAGTTTGAATAAAGTGTGTTTTACGATGATCAGAGAGGGAAAATTACTGTTCTCTGACTGAAGTCTGATGGCTTTGAGGAGAGAGTATTAATTGAATGTTTTATACATTAACTAATTATAATAACTGTCCAAACGTCTCTATTAATAATTCACTTCAACGAGCGACAAATAGCATCAATGGAAAAGAGGCGATAATTAATGTCTCCACCAGGGTGTCATGTTTCCATCACTGCCAATCAGAGCTGGAGCCGATAAACACCTGTGACTACTGCAGAGTAATTTGTCTCAGGAATTAATGCCGATTGTAACCTTTCCCACTGGAGAAAAGGCCAGCTTCTTCTCCAGTGGGAAAGGGGCTTTATAGGATACTCATGGGAAAACTCACAGATGAAGAATCCAAAATAAATTCCTCTACTGCTGTTGGCGTCAAGAACAGCCTGGCAGCCAGGATGTCAATCATGTACTGGTGTGCAGGGGTGAGGAGCATCTTTCGCTCTTCTCTTGCCTGCTTGTATTTGGCCTGAGGAAGACAAGGGTTGTAAACAATATCAATTGTACTGCTGTACCATACTTCATAAGTTAAAGGGATTTGTTTACTTGTATTCTGAAAACCAATGATCCAATAAAAGTGTTAAATAAATTTACCTGACCACGCTTGTTTGCTTTTAGATCATCCATCATGAAGCGCTCAGGCAATGTCATCCCATTGGCTGTTGAAAAACTCAGTTATTCTGCTTATTCTTTCTAGATTACATTTATAAAAACAAACTAATTAGTCGCTGACTAGTGCTGGAGCCTCATGAAATTGTTTCATATAGCCTAGTTAGTCTATGATGAAGCCACAAAGAGGAGTTACATTAGTGTATTTTTTCACGTAAATTGGGTAAGTTTTTCATCAAGCTGACGATGTTGGAAGGGTTTACTTAGCTACATTAAACGGACTAACAGTTACCGTTTAATAACGTTAACGTTACATATTTGTGGATATGAGGCACCCCACCCACAAACCAAACACACAGTAGAGTACTCGCTGGTGTTTCTTGTTTTTTCCCCATCCAAATCCAACCGTTATCAGCTGAACTAACGTTAGCGTTATTACCCTTGCCGTTAACCGTGGAGATGCCACGCGCTCTAGCCGTTAGCTCCAGAGAAGAAGCTGTGAAATATACCAGTAGCTAGTTTATCTAATGAAAGCATAGCCTGCTCTAAGCTAAATAACATTAAAGCTAACATTAGTTGCTTTAGTGTCGTGTAATGTAACGTTAATGGTTGTTAAATTAGTTTCGGTTACTAAATGAGCGTTAACTAACGTTAGTTGAATTAACCTAGTGATAGCTTAACTACATTAGAGCTAGCGTTACCGTTAGCAAACGTGAAGATTAAAATTACCGTTACAAAAATAACGGTATCTCGGAGTGAGACAGTTTTGCCGTTAGCTAACGTTAGTAGCCAATAGTTAATATTTTAAGTTACCTCTTTTTAACTTTGCTAACATTATTGTAACATATTTTCTGCCCTTACCAAAACTCAGTTGACCACATTTTCTCTACGTGCTGTTTTCCAAAGACTCGCTGGTGTTTCTTGTTTTTTAACCGCTATCAATCAAGTTGTCATCCACATCCAACCGTTATCAGCCGAACTAACGTTAGCGTTGTGACCGTTGCCCCGTTAACCGTGGAGATGCCACGCGCTCTAGCCGTTAGCACCATAGACGAGGCGATGATATAGCTATACCAGTAGTTCAACTCTCAACGTTCCTCGCCATATTTCAGTTTGCTTGTGGCCTCAGTTTTTGAGCGCTCGTCAAATATTGGATTATTCTCATTGTCCATGCATTTCTCTCAGTTGTAGCCCTATTCATTTAGTTGACTCTGTTACGTTAAACAGGTGAGAGAAGCAGACAAAAACAAACTTGGAAATCTCTCATGTGAAATAATCAAAGCTGTTCTGACTTCAAAAGAAAAGAGTGCTCATGTAGGACCCGCTCACTCACGGGGAAAGCTGGTTGAGAAACTCTTCAGTGAAACTCTTTGCAGTTAAATATAACGAAACAAAACCACTAAATCTATCTCATGTACCTACAGAGAGCTCTAAAAACAAGAAAAACAAGGCCATTCATATTATTATGTACATTTGGCCTGGTTTTATTGTGAATACCAATTAATAAGTATGGTTAAAAGAATACATACAAACAGCAGGATACAAGTTTAGACAGAACCTTTACAATAATGTTTAAAACATAAAAACAGGCAGCATCTCAATCCTGTGCAATAAAGTTACATCGGGGCTGTAGTCCAGCGCGGTGGTGCAACAAACAACATGTTACATTTGGATGATGTGTGACGATTGAGTGGCTCGAGGTCCAAGAATAGCTGCTGCTTTTTATGCATTTGATATTTTTAGCCTTGTTTGATCAAACAAATTAACACTACTTCACTCTTGCATTTAGTTGAAGGCAGCAAAACAAAGATTTCTCGTCTTTGAAATCAACTATAATAATGCTAAAAATCAAGTTCTGGGAGAAAAAAAAAAAATGGCCTCTTGTTTGCAAAGTCCCACGTTCCAAAGCTTTCAACGGAGTCGTTTTAAATTGTTACGGTGGCAAGGAGCAGCACAACTAGTATCTCAAATATCAATACACCAATTAGTTTTGCAACTGGAAAAATCCTAGTATTTAAGACTGCTTCATAATTCCTTCATGTAGCATCATTCAATACCAAACAACAGATAAATAATGTTTCTAGTTTTGCAATCCAGTCAGTATTCATAGACTCTTTCCCAAAGATGTTGAACACATAGAAGCCATAGAAGAGTATGGGAAGTTATGGTATGAGCGGTAGATTTATACAATATTTGATATTAAAGTGACTTTGTAACGGATAGCTTATGGAAACCTAGAAAAAGAGCTGCTTATAAATACCGACTGTGCTTTCCAGAATCACAACACCTCCTGTCAGTCCTGCTTCAGGTAGAATTTGTTTTAGTGTAAAGACAGCTCGGAGAAAGGACAGGATTGAAATGCTTCGGGAGGTTCGATCAGTTTTTCACATTACCATTTGACCCTACAGTACAACAAGCAAGTATAAAACACAGAGTAATATCCATGTCCTCATGTGAGCAATCTAAATATACAACTAAGTCAGGCAGAATATCACATATTCTGCTTTTCTCTGAATACATACATCCTGCACTGCTTCTCCATTTAAAATATAACAATAATCATAACATAAATTAAAATGCACTACAGAAACAAAACGCTGACTAAAGAGATGCTTTGAAAGACACTGAGGCGGTTCAGAGTTCGCCCCTCAGTAGCCGAGTCTGTTGTCTGTTAGTACAGCCCCTGAATGGAAACCAAGCAAACACTGAATCCACCAACGAGGATCTAGAGCTGCTCGTTTTGAAAAGGAAAACTCTGCAGTATGAAGTTTTTTTCCCCCGCTTTCTTCTCTTTGGCTTTTACACCTTTAGTTCAGCAGGGACATCATGACTGCAGAGTTCACCTTCGAGGCTGAGAGAAACACCCGGAGCTGTGCTAACATCCACCCATGAGGTCGCCGTGTGGCTTCACTACTAGTTCAGTACAGTATATACAGGAGTCATGTGCATGCTTAAATTCTTCTGGTTTCTTTTTTTCCCCTCCCAAAAAAAAAAAACAAAGTGGCTTCAGTTTTCAGTACTTCTAAAAGTTGCCGACATATACAGAATGTAGTAATCTAAAGTTTTTAGCATCGCTAAAAGTCCTTCTTCTGAATAATAATAATAATGAAAAAAATAAAAGTATGTTGACGCCCCTTTTCGGTGACACGATTAGCAATGCAGTTGCTTTAAGTGGGTGAGAAGGCTGCGGCGTATTAGTGTGTGAGTGAAGGTAAAGTATTAAACACTGATGAGGATGTGTGTCCGCGACTGCACACCTGTAGTGTGTTTGTGTGTAGCTCCAGTGTGCATGTTGAGGGGTGGTGAGAAGGAATGTGTTTGACACTTGATCAAATAGTAATTGCACACATATATATATATATATATATACACATACATATATATATATATATAGTGGCAATTTTGTTTGTTTTATTTTACAGGTCCGTAGTTTTTTTAGTAATTTCCTTGTTAGTTTTATAGGAAACAACTATAAAATGTGATACTAATTGTAGGTGAACTACTGTAGATTAACAGTTTAAGTCGCTTCCAATAACTTATTTCTAATTGATAGTATAACCTAAAAAGTCTCAAGTCAGCACACAGTAGGTCAGCTCAGCATTCAAAAATATATATATAGTATGAAGAATAAAGTTTCAAATAATAAATGACTAATAAATGAATATTTGCTTCTAACTGAAAGAACTTAGTCTCATTTCCTCTATAATGGGTACCAAATGATGTAGCTAGGACTCATAAAATAAAACATAAACCTAATTTCTCAATAGTCCTATGATAATTTAAGAAGCAATTCATGTCAGGTCCCGTGCATAAAACTGGACAAAGCATATATTGCTATTAGACTTAGATTTGGAAGTGATCAGGCTTGAATAATGACCAAAACTTAACTGAAGCAATTGAAGATAAAAGTGAACTGAAAGCTCCTCCGTGTCTTCACTTCTGAGAAGAGTGAAAATGCAGAAACATAATTAATTGAAAGAACACTGTGTGTTTCTGTTTTCTTGGTGTGAGCTCTTCAAATCAAAGCCTCGTGATTACTTCTAAACCTGGAGTGAGAAGTGCAACTGTGCATTTATCTGACAGATAAAACAACACAAAGCGTGCCATATGTCAAGTTTAGTCTACTCTATTTGAATGTTTTCACCCATCTGGTGTTCCACACAAACCAAAACGCATAATAAAAGAAATGATCTACCACCACCGTTTGATCAGGTCTGGTGCATGCGTGAGGATAACAGTGAGCCCCTATAGCAGGGCTTTCTCTGAGTAGGGGGCCTGCGAGGGGTCTGATGAAGGTGCTATGCTCGGGCCAGAGGGGGAGCTGTAGTTTGGCGTCTGCGTCAGGCCCGGCCCGATGGCTGGGTTCTGGTAGGACTGTAAGTCTGCTGGGGCCATGCTGCCTGGAGCTGCGGTGTAGACTGGAGGCTGGCCCATGTACATATGAACGTCACTACGAAAAAGAATGAAGCAACATTAATAACACCACAAACAGCAAGGTGGAAAGGTAGAATTCATACTTTGGCTCTTGCTGTTTTTAATGCACTCTGGCACATAATTGACATTAAAAAGGACAATATCCACCAACCAGTCATGTTACAGTTTACTGTACATCCATGGGTGTCCAAAATGTCACGCCTTCATCATTCTAACTTGTTAGACGCTTGTGTGAAATGATCATATTTAGTATATCAATTCTTGGATTATGGACAAAAATGTATTTTTGTGAGATCGCAGTGACCTTTGACCACCAAATTCGAGTCAGTTCAACATTGATGAGTGAACGTTTGTGCCAAATTTGAATGAATTAGGAAGGAAAGGCCGTCTCTTATATACGCCTGGTTCTACTACTTGAGAATTCACAGTAAAAATAAACAATCCACTCTAGATGGGAGGTATTATGTTGCTGTTTTAAATAGGCTTTTTTTCTTCCTTGATGAATGGTACATTAAAGAGAGAGAAAGCAAATAATGGAAACGATTAACACTATTGCACTCTTTACTCTGGTGAAATGGGGATGACGTGCAGCAAAGTTTGTTATTTGCGACAAACTTGCAATGTGCGTAGTGAACCAGAAGAAGAAGCCACTGGGGTTTGTGAAACTCACCTGGGAGCTGGCTGACCAGGTATGGGGGTTCCAGCTGGAAGCTGCTCCATGGGGACGGTGTAACCCTGCACCGCGGCATACGGACCTGATGCAGGCTGACCAGGGTAGACCTGAGCTCACAATCATGAATAGTGAGTGTTAGAGACGGAGGAAAGTCTACGATCGAAAAGTCTTGCTCGCGCTCAAAACCCCATTGGGATGGTAGACAGTTTAGACTTTTATGCCTTTAAATATTTCCGATGTGTAAGTGACTGTACCTGTTGTGCTGCGTTGGCAGGTTGCTGCATGTAGTACTGTTGGCTCTGTAGCTTGGCGTACATGGCGTAAACTGGATCGTCATTCATTATCTTGGCATACAAAGACAGAGCTTCCATCACCTTCACATTCAGCTCCGACAGCTCCGAGTGCTTCCTGATGATACAAACCAGAAGATTACATTTAGATTTTCTTAACTTTATATTTGCAGATGGCTTGAATTATGTAGCTTTAAAATACTTAAAACATTCTGCGGGCAAAACTTGTCACGTCAGCACAATGTACCTGTCTATATCCTCCAACTTCTGGTCAATGAGGGGCCCCATTTGATTGCAGGCACCTGATGTAAATACAACAAATAGTTATCAATTATATCTGTATTCAACAATAATAATCCACGTTTTCAAGATAAAATATCGGATTAGCTTCTACATACTGACATTAACTTTTATCTCACTTACAGTCACTTCATACAGCATCAACCCGGAGTTCTGTTTACCTTCCAACTGTAGCAACTCAACGCTGTCCGACTGGTTGTCTGTGGGATCTGCACTCTGGATCATCTGCAGCAGCTGGTCCATTTTGTCCTGAAGGATTTCAAAAATCATGTGATGACACTTTCCAGATACTTGTGATCTTCTAGATACATACTCGTTAGATACATCGAGATCTCAACAAGGCAGAAAAAGCATCGTGAACACGAGGGAACTTACTTCGTCTATATATACAGGCTCTTGTTCGGGCTCTATGGTCTCCACCTGGATGTCCTCACTGAACTGTACCGTCTTCTTCTCCGTCTTCACTGTAGATTTCCAAGTAACAGCGAATGCGGCAGCAGCAAAACAACGAAACAGTATAAATCAGTTACACAGATTTAGGAGGTCAGGGTGTGCTGACGGTCGGATACTGGCGCAAAAGACTGGTTCAAAAGTTACAATCTGATACGAGCTATTGACAAAATGTTTTGATGTTCATATTTGTATGTTGGAACACACAATCCAATAACGCTCATGAGATGTCCTCATCATGTTTGAGTATTGGAGGTGTTTTTACATGAATGGAGGAAGGAAAGCAAAGATAGCAGAATGCACACGTGCAGTATGAGTGTTTTGAGGGATGACACACCTGCAGAAGCATCATGCCAAATAATATGATGAATGAGCAACGAGCGATAAAATGAAAAATGTGTCAAAGCAATAAACATGTAGAGGACCTACCCCATTCTGTGGGGTTTTGAAAATTCATATGTTAATACAAAATAACAACACAACAGACCTACATTTAAACTGTTGACACTTGTGTGTACCTCCAAGTACGGGAATTCTTTTCAAAATATTTAAAAACAGCGATGAGTTTTAGAACTAAAATAAGGAGCTCAATTGTCCTGTGGAACAACCATCTGACAGGACACTACATTAACAACAGTATAAATAAATAAATAAATAAACTATATATCCTCTGAAGTTAAGTTTACAGTGGAGGAATAGACACATACACACACAATATAGAATCCATTCAGGCAGCAGTGAAGGAGATGTTACATGCATGGTGTGTTAAAAAGAGCACACTATGAGACTTAGATGTAGCATATGAATGTCTTACAAAAGAAAAAAATATTCTATATAAATACAGCAGACACTGACTTGTTAAAAGCAGTATACAAAATGGAAAGAGTTGTTTAAAGAAGAGCAAATGTGTCCAAAATGCTATCAGAGAATTTCTCCTATGCCTTCCTAGAAGTACGGGCATTGTTGCAGTTCACGGCATATGATAAGCCGCTGATCACTTTCTGTTGTTCTGTCTTGTTGTTCTTTGCATTGTTTGACTAGCTGTGTGCAAATGATGAAGCATTTCCCACTCGAGGATCAATAAAGCAATATTGCTAATGGACTGAATGGCCTATCAAAGAACTAAAGATGAAATGTACTCACTCATCTCAGGCTCTGCAGTGAGGTCAGCTGTGACAAAGTTAGAGGGGAACAACCCCACCCCCTGGTATGTTTCCCCTTTCCACCAGTTGGGGTCACTGAAATAAAAAAAATTAAAAATGTAAGCCCACAGAAATGATCAAACAACAGATTTAAACGGTTGTCTTCTCAGTGCTGCATTAAGATCTTATTGGCTTAGTTTGCAGCTTCAAGATTCTTTTAAACATCAGGATATTTTCACACAGCTCAGAATATCACCTCGAGCTCAATCCGCTCAAGTCATGTGACAAATCCTTGCGTGCCGTTTTTTCCCTACTTACAATTCGTGTGTGTAAAAATTCACCTATCGTCCAGGATGGTGATGATTTCCCCCGACTTGAAGGTGAGCTCGTTGTCCTCAGCGGCCTCAAAGTCGTAGATGGCGCGGACTTTCCTGCCGTCGGACTTGTGCGAGGAGAGCAGGCCGGAGGTGTTCGGGTAAAGGCCCGACAGGGAGGTCTGCGGCTGCTGACGTTGCTCCTTCAGAGACAGCTCGATAGCTGCACACAAAAGAGACGCACACATTTCTCCATTGACGTCCGAGCATTGAAGAACTTTTTTTCCCAGTGTCCAGAACTAGGCTGAAACCCTAAATAAGCATTTCAGTGTGCAGTCTAATTGTGTGATCATCTGCTAGTGTCCTCACCTTTGGCCAAATCGTCTTCTTCTTTCTTGTTTGTCGAGGTGGAGGGATCCTTTGCCACTAAAGCAGGGCTTGCTTTTGCTTGCTCTGCAGCCTGTGAAAAGAAAAACGATAATCACATGCACAACTAGAAGAATAAAAAGATAAGTGTGGGTCTCAATGTTTAAGCAAAACAACCTAAAATTATCCAATTATATAAATCCCTTTTTTTGTTAGATCCTTTTCTGGCATTTTGCCTGTATTAGGCAATGAAATATGGGAAGCAAGAGAGGAGTACGACATGCAACACAAAGACGGAATTGAAATGAGGGTGTTGCAGTTGTATGGTCTGGATCTGACTCACCACTAGTCCACCATAAATAAAGCAATCCAAAAATGTACCTTTCACATAGAGTATGCTAAAATTCCACTCGACACACCTACCTGGGACCCAACAGCTGGGAAAGTAACACCCTGCTCGCGTAGATTCTTGATCATTGCTGAGATCAGACTGAGTTGGGGATCGTTGCGGAAGTCCTCTGCCCACTCCACCATCAAGGCTTTCAGCTTCTCACACACCTTGGGGTGGCCCTGGGGAGAAATCAAACAAAAGGCACATCATAAGAACAAGGGACATGGATGCAGCATGATCTAATTTCAAGTAATCAAACATAATTAATGTGGACAACACACTGAAATCAAAAGTTACATCACAAACCTTGTTTAGGACGTTACTGACTTCACTGGCAAACTCTCTGGAGCACACCTCTAAGTGGAATATCTTCCCACAGTTTGAGACACAAGCACCAAGGAGCTGTGAGGACATTGGTGCAAACAGTTCACCAGACTCATTATTCAATCAAAGGCAACATTTGACAAACATGTAGCACTTATTAGGATATAACTTATCACAGAGGAAAGGCGGTTACTCCACCAGCTCACATCTCAGTGAAACGTTAATTATAGATCAGCAGAAGACTACATGATGCCCCCAAGAACCAAACAATTACTGTACACTTATACCAAACATTGGTTGTTAACAATCTGCTTACAGTCAATGCCTGCATGGCCACGTGAGGATCCTTATGGTTCACTCTTCTCATTATAGAGCGGAGACATTCTTTAGGCCTGCAACACAAGTGTAGAAATTAAAAGGTTGTGGAGATTAACTGCTTGGTAAGGACCAAAAAAACAATCCAGCTATGTTGACTAGATACATCACTATATATGTTTTTTATAGACATGAAGGTATCAATATTTATCTTCAATTTCTCCATGTGCACCTGGACCCTGAGCTCTATCTCCAACCCTGTGTGTTTTACAACTGAAAAACCTTAAAGGAAACTTAATGCAGTGTCTGATAAATGTGTTTGTGTGTGTCAGGTTTATATAGAAGACAGTTAACTTACCCAGTGCGTGACTGCCCTATCTTATCACAAATATCCAGAATGAGGCCCCAGTCCTCTGCTGTGTTCATCTCACTGGTTGCCTTCTCTGCAGGAAAGAAGCAAAACAACCAACATAAACGAGAGGAGAGGCGACGATCCTCCTAGGATCAGAAATAATAAAGCTTTTTGAAACAAACATTGTAGTTGCAAGCTGTGTGTGTGTGTGTGTGTGTGTGTGTGTGTGTGTGTGAGAGAGAGATCCTTTCCTTTTTTGTTAATCATACAAATGAGCATAAACAGACAAAATAACAGATGGCCCAAACAATACAACAGCTCTGCAGTAAATACCAATCTGAAGCTCATGTTTAGTTTTTGTGATGAAACTATCGGCCGTATCGATTTCAAGTTTATTTGGGATTGTAGCTTGTGCTTTTAGGAATATACTGTATGCCATTCAGTGGTGGTGAGCGTTCCTCTTCTCTACTGCACTCCTCCGGTCTTTGGCATAAGTCATCATCATTTTTTGGGACTTCTACTCGTGCCAAATCACACAATTGTGTACTTGACTTATCTTGCAAGTTACCTCATGTTTCCATAGAAATTCCCTAATAAAAGTGGTGAAAGTAAGACCTCATATAAATTTGACACATATAGTTATCCAGCCATACGTCCAATTTGTCCAGCTGCTTTTTAATCATGAAGTACATTTATGCTAAACACTGAAAAAATGCACTGGCAAACAGAAAACGTGGTCACAAGCAGGGGTGGGCGAGATGATATTATATACCATGTGAAGATAGTCAGTTGCTATACCATTTATACTGTTGTTGCTATTCCATTGGATATTTATATAAGTCTAACATCAATGTGATGAAGTCAATTGATTTTTAAGGTATTTAATTGGCTGAATAATAACAATAATCCTGTTGCATCACAACCCAGTGCAGAAATCTGGGTGTTATCTTTGATAACAAACTGAAACTTCTTTTGTTATCTGCTAAGAATCTAGTAACGGTCATGATCCATGTTTTCATTACATCCTCTAAGACTACTGTAACCAGCTGTATTCCTGTCGGACTTGAATCAATCTCTCCAAACTTGAAACTTGAACGCAGCAGCCAGACTACTCACAAGTTATTATTATTGTTATATATACACTGCAATACTGGATAACAAATACCATAATAGGATGATTTTATTTACATCCTCAACCCCTGCTTGCAAGTAGACGATCACCAACACAGAGATATTAACAGCTTATTAATTATACACAAACAGAACAAAGAGCCTGAAAATAACCAGTCAAGCTGAAATAACACCAGAGTCCAAACACACCCATCATAAGCTTTACTAAATTAGCATGCACTGCTAGTTTTGAGGGCCATAGTTTAGTACATAGACTGTTTTATATGGCACTGCATAATTAGTTGGGCGTGTGTGTACTTCTTCCAGCCCTTGCACACTGTAAAGTGACGTGCTAATGACGTGTTGAAGAGACGAAGAGATGTTAGAGTCATCATATTGGGTCGCTAACATACGATGGGATACAGTGAGATGATGAGGAGGCAGATGGCTAGACAACATCTCTGTCCCATGTCTATTAACAATTAACCTGACCAAAGAAAATATCATGTTTACAAATAATGTAACTTAAAACACACAAACACATATTGCAAGTAAAATTAACTCTTCAAATAAACTCTGTGAACGTTACTAAAATGTAAGTTGCTGCAAGCTAACAGCTAAATCTCCACATATAATATAAGGGTGCAAGCTAGTTAGCCTTAACTGCTCATTGGGCTAACAGAGCGAATCACAACAAACAAAACAGACATTAATAAACGTGGACTACAGCATGTCAGTGAATGTAGATTATAATATGTACTACGAGACAGCAGTATAGCATTAGTACCAAAGATCTTGAGGGTATTATTTAAAGTACATGCAGCTGATGAACACATACAAAGATGTATTATCGAAGCTACTTCAGCTAGCCTGCTACAAATAGCCTCCAGTTGTGATTACTCACCAACATCTTGGTCAAATGGGTTCGTCGCGAAGAGAGGCATTGCTGGTGTGTTGACAACAGATTTCGCCTTCCTCCTGTTATTCGCGTTCCCCTTTTATGTTATTTCATACAATAAACACGCATAGTAACGACAACTTCATGAATGTAAAATGCTGCTGGCTGGTTCTATTCTACACAGTCACTCCTTCGCCAGACGGCAACAAGCGAGGCATTCTGGGTAATTGAAGCCGACAGTCGCGTGTTAAATTGACTGCTTTCGCCAACTGTAATTCATAAAAACACTCACACAGCTGTTCACGTGTCTGAACTGACTGCACATTAGCGGAAATCAACCATAAGCTGCAAATTGCCCTAAAAAAACAAACATGTCATCGTCAGGTAATGGTGGTCATGTGACGGTAGCTCATCGCGTTGACCCTGCGCTGACCACGAAATCTTCTGAACCAAATGTACTCTTCAAGTCAGTTTAATCTTTTCCTCAACAGTTACGTTACAACTAATACATGTGTGTGAGTATGTGCATTCCGCCTGGAATTAATTTAAAAATAATGTGTTATCTGTCAGTACTAGTTAATTAAATACCCATAGCATTATAATAATTAACAGGGTTAACAAGTCACTGATTTAAAGAAAAATAAAGAAAAATATTACAGAGCAGTTCCACTTTGAAATGGTCACACAGAATGTATTGTACTGTACATTTATTTTGGGTTTGTTCTAAAATATATATACCCTAAATACTGTATATAGACATTTAAACATGGATATACTGTACATAACCCCGATCCCTTTAATATTTATTTCTATCTGTATGTTGTTGGGAATTTTTGCTGATATATTTATTTATACACATATAGTATTTAACATATATATATATATATATACATATACTGTATATATATAAATATATATATATATGCATATGCTTTTGATCAAGTGTAAAACACACACTCCTTCTCGCTACCCCTGTGTGTGTGTGTGTTTGTAACTAAGCACATTTACTTTACTTTACTTGAATGTACAATTCGGAAGAACAACTAAATTATTCTATGTATTTTAGGTAAAACTCTCTTGATCCCAGCAGGAAATTGACAAGCTACCCACTATATAAAGTAGACTAATTAAAATGTACTCCGCCTTTAAATAAAGTGCTCTTTATACATAATTCCAATTATATATTAGTTTATTTTAATGCTTGTAATTTAGTTTTTCTAATTAAGTAAAAGTACGTATTCCATCACTGATTAATAGCTTTATGATTATGTACTGCTATTTCATAACTTTCACAAATCTAAAGATTTAATCTTGCAAAGTTAATTATATTAACAAATTACTATTTACATATTTGTTTTAATCTAAATGATCTCATCCCAAAGTTAAGGCAGTAACAATGACTATATACAGTATCTTGGTGTTTGAAATATATGGAAGCTGCACTGCCATTTTTAATCTTGTTCTGACATAATTCCTTTCCGTCTGATTGTTGTATATTGGTTTTGTTAAAAATAGACATATATTATAAAAAGCTACAAATAAATAAAAGGATGCAGATGTGCATGAGTCTGATATAAGTGATGTATCAATTAGGAGTTGCCTTTCTTCTTCAGTTGTTATAAACATTTATTAAACAAATAAATGGCATTTATTACCATATTTAATTGGACAAAAAACACTGAGTCCACACAGTTTCTTTACCATTTTATTGTGATCCATAGGAACTTGGTAATTTCATTAAGGCATAATGGGCCTTGAGCAGATTACAAAACGCTACTCAGTCCTTCAGCATTATATGAATTGAAAAAGGTCGATCATACAACAATAACAACTGATTATGCAAATTATAAACATGTAACATTTCACATATTGTATTTGGCATAATGACTAAATCAGCATATGACGGCTACATTACAAAAAAATGTACATATTGTTAATGTGTGCCTTACTGTATACAACTCATACTGGCAGTCTAAAGTCTAAGAAATACTGTCCTTCATAAAACAGCAGCACTGCTCACACTGAGCATCTATTCTCAAAAAGAAAATTAAGACATTTGTAAAAAGGTGAAATTAATTTCTTTATTTCTATTCATTATCTGAGTTTGCAGTCATTTGCTGATAGTGAGTAATTCCTCATCATTTTCCACGGATCTTATTTCTAATCACAGTTGTGAAGTATTTGACAGTATAAAAATAGTTCCACTTTATGAACAACATCATCCTCTGATATGGATTTTTTGAAAGAGTAAAGAATGAGAAGGCAGCCAAGAAATACAACAATATGAAATTCAATCCCAACCAACAATGCATCTTTTGTGAAATATTATTTACAGATACACCTGTACAACGGCGGTTGATTTAGTAGAGCCTAAATAAATGTATCCTTCAGTACAAATACCAAATCAATACAATGGGCTGGGTCTGTGCATGTCTTTTGCAGCATACTTGTAAAGTGCCTTTAAGACAAAGACCAGTCCAAGTCTTAGTGATGCTTGACAGAGTCCTCTAGTCATCTAGAGCTCCTCCTCATGTCCTTCATTATCCTCGCATCTTCAACCTCAACTTCAGCCTCTTCACCGTTCTCCCAGAGACAGCTCACACTGCCTTCGATGGATGCTATAAAACGGGAACGTCCACTGTGAAGAGAACACATATGGTACATTTTAACATCTTTATGATGTGCTTACAGGCTGATATATTAAAACTAAATATGGTAATCTGCAAACTCATTATAATGATGAAGTACACACAGATGAAAATGTTGCACCATAGATTGATGCAGACAAACGTCAGGCCTAAGAGGCTCCGAATCATGGAAAGTTTCATCTTTTACATTTCCAGGGCAACTGAGTAAACTCTACTGATGAGGACCATGCAATGTGGTCAAAAGCTCCAGACCTTTAGCTAGATTGTTTTGTCACTGGGCTCTGAGGTTTATTTAAAAGATGGTGTAAATCCCATTTACACCATCCTGGTGATCAGAAATACCTGCACTCACTATTCATGCAGTGTTTCTCAAATGGGGGGTACTTGTACTCCTGGAGGTACTTTGGAGTACCACAGTTTCAGTAACATTTTCTAAGAACTACAGCGCTCATCTGGTTTCAGGATATTCCAATTATTATATTCAGAGTACTGAGAGTCAAACTTTGTTGAGTGTTATCTTTACATGGGATTTGTCAGCAGTAGGAAAAATTTAGAATATTGCCACCGATATACTTTAAAACATATTCACGCACAAATACACAGAACAAGAATAATTTAAAAAGGTCTCATATACAGAAGGTACTGACAGTCAGAGGCACGTTCACAGATGAAACCGATGCTGTCTGTGCAGTAGAAATCATTCCAGTTGGCATTATGGACAAGGCCAGCACAGTCCTCGCCATCTTCGTGGCCATGGGTCCAGTTATCCGGCTGGCCAGGCTTCCACTTCCTAAGAGCAACAACATGAACAATATTTATTAAAGCTGAAGCATCATACAAGGTGTTTGTTAGTTGGCCTGTTGTTTTGGAACAGAATGAAACCAGGAATCAAGTCAGAAATCACTCAAACATAGTAATTCCATCTGCTTAATTGCAGATTCATAATTATTTGTTAAACCAATTTTGCAGGTTACTCACTTGAAAACTGGTAAAGTTCCATCCACCCATTTCCAGACATTTTCCTCCTCCCTGTCAGTAAGACCCAGCCAGAAATAGCCTTTTCCTGCAATTGCATCTCTCACAAATTGCTATGGAGAGAGGAGCAAAAGTTGTTTGAGATGAAAGTCAGTTCAGAAAAAAAACAAGTCTGCGATTTTAAAATTAGGTTTGTTTCCTTCTTTAAAGTCATTGAATATTTTAAAGTAACTATCGGGCTCATATCTCGCTTACCTGTTCCTCATCGGTGTTGATAATCAGCATTAGAGATGACATGTTAGTACAAAACTGGTTGGACTCGTCAAAGTTGAGCCTCTGAGGACCAGAGGAGAAGTAATAGCAGCTGTCTCCAAACCTTCTGAAATCAGCTGGGCAACCTGGAAGTAATTATTTACAGAATATTACAAATTAAACGTAAAATCATACGTCAAATGTTATTAGAATTTGTAAAAATGTACTTAGAATGGGCCACCTTAATTTAAACATTTAACTCACCAGGTGCTGGAGCAGTGGTGACAGGGGTTTGGATCTGCCAGAACACGGAGCCTTGTGGTTCCTCTGTTGGTTTGGAGGGTTGAGGTGGTTTGGGGGGTTGGGGCGGTTTGGTGGCTTGAGGTGGTTTGGGGGTTTCAGGGAGCATAGCGGGCCTCGTGGGTTGAGGCGGCTTTAAAAATGGAGGTGCAGGCGCAGGTATCCCTGGTAGCCCTGGAGGACCAGGAGGGCCAATGGGTCCAACAGGCCCACGAGGCCCATCGTGCCCTGCAGATCCTGCTGCTCCTCTGGGCCCTGGAGGCCCCATTAGTCCAAGCAACCCTGGCTGTCCATCCCTACCAGGAATCCCCGGAGCCCCAGGGTCACCTTTTTCACCAGAGTTTCCAGGTCGACCTCCAGACCCTCTCGATCCTTTAGCCCCTGGAAGACCCCGAGCCCCGATTGGACCCTTTGGACCTGTCGCACCTGGTGGTCCAGCAGCACCTTTCTCTCCTTTAGATCCCACCAACCCTGGCATCCCTTTGTCTCCCTTATCGCCCTTTTGTCCTGGCTGGCCCATTGTTCCCTGTGGACCCTTATCCCCCCTGAGGCCCCTTGGACCTGGTGGACCTGAAAGATAGTAACAGCAGATGAGTTTGTCCGAATGTCCTAGGTTTCAAAATGATCTACTTTGGTATTTTTACTTTAGTTTACATTATTTTGCTGATAGTATTATTGTACTAGCGACCAGACATAGGTGTTATCCAGAACTTATTGTGGTTCTTTAAGATCTAAATCCTTTCATTGCTTAGAGCCAACATTTGGAGGAGTTTACCAAATGAGGGGAGATACTCTGAATTGAATAGTTTTTAAAAACAGCTGTAAAACATTTTTATTAAAGGAATTATTAATTGAAGGACTAGATATTTGTAAATGTATTTGTTATTTTAGTACATTTGGAGAAGAAATAATAAATAAAAATAAATCATCTTATCATTTGAAACATTTTTCACTATTTCCAGGATACGCACCACGTGCGTCTCATGTTCTTACCCTGCAGGATGGTGAAGTTGGTGATGAGCTGTGAGTGCTTGCTGTCCACCAGCTTCATCTCCTCCATCACCACAGAGAGGTCGCTGACCTCTTTGTCCACCCTGGCTGCCAGCTCATCTTGCTCTGCGCGCTGGTCTTTGCTATCTGCCATGACCTCCGTCACACTGACATTCATCCCCAGTATCAGGTCTGAATGTCGCATCACCGTCTCGGCGCACGACCTCAGGCCATTCAGGTCGGAGCTGATCGCACCTAGGAGCTGCGTGGCGAAGCTCATGTTTCCAGTCACACGGTCCATGTCATTCTCATGTCTGTCTAGTCGTGATTCCATCTTATCAAACTTAGATGAGGTGGCGTTATCGTGGTCTCTCTGGTGGTCCATCAGCTCATGCACGCTCTGGCCATGCTCCTCATTGAGAGCGGAGGTGTTCTGGATCTGGCTGGCTAGCGTGCTGAGCTGAGCCCCCAAGTCATCCAGAGCTTCTCCATTGGAACGCGCCAGAGCTGAGTTATTGGCTGCCAAAACCTGGAGGTTCTGGACCTTTTCCTTAAGCCACTCTGTGTCAGCCCGGGTCTGTCTGGCCGTCTGCTGCAGACCCTGATAGTCATTTTTCAGTGTCTGCACCGCCTGGCCTGCGCCTTCCACCGTCTTCTGCAGCGTGCCAAGCAGATTCCGCTGCTGGGATTGGGTGATGTTTAGTGCACTGATACTAACCTGGGTCTGGCTCTGCATGTTGACCTGGCCCTGTATCTCTGACTGGAGCCGTGCAGTGTCTGTCTGGAGGTCGTCAATCATGCCACTGTAGGAGGTCAAGGTCTGGTTGACCCCACGCAATGAGGCCTCGCTGCCTTGCATAAAACTCTGCAGGGAGACGTGGCCGTTCTGCATGTCATCTCCTGTGATCTGAAGCCCGTCCAGCAAATCCCTGTTCCTGGTTGCCCTGAGGGCGATATCGTTCAGTTGGTTCTGTAAGGCCTCCAGATCTGACTTGAAGGTCTTGATGTTACTTGTGGCATTTCCTGACTTCTCTCCTGTCTGATCATCTGAAAAGGTGACACACACAAAAATATGTTACTGTAAAGAAAACTAAAATATGGTAAAATGTCAAAGTCAAAAAGCACCTCCTTGCATTTAAAATGTTGTTCCCAGCTATCGTTGGTTAAAAAAAAAAATACATATTTGATATCCAATCTTATGTTTATGAGACTTACCTAGTTTCTTTAAGTCTGTCTCCACAGCATTGATCTTGCCTCCATAATTCTGCATGCCCTCTGTGACATTGTCCATTCTCTGGACCACTGACAAAAGAGGAACGAGAAGGTATAAATAGATATACAGACAGACAGACAGACAGACAGATAAATAGTTAGATAGTGACAATCCAATACATATTAATTGACACTGCTGTTTAATAAGTACTTTTACTTCTAAAAGAATGATTCTATATGGTATTGCTACCTTTACTTTGGCAATTTGAATACTTCTTCTTCCACTTATACATAAATATCACACCTAACATGAAAAAGCAGAATTTCCACAGCTAAACTGATTGTGAACAGCAGAGGGTGCTGCTGTATTCATTTCTCTCCAGTAAATAACTGGAAACTCAAACAGCAATTTTGAAAGCAGGATGTTGAACCGTGTGGAGTTTCCTAAATTTTTTTTGTAACCGGGCAATCTGTTGATCAATCCAAAGAAAGATTTTCAGAGTACATTCACAAATCAATGTCAAACACATGATCAATACTACACTAGTACACTCTGACTCTGGTTCCACTTTCTCTGTCCACCTCACATCTGCAACAAGAGTCCATCTCCTCTCTTCCACCGTTTGTTTTTCTCTCGGTATGTGGGCGCCCAAAAACTGCACTGGAAAACATCCCTGGCTTTCACTGTTATCATTCCAGAAGTGACAAATACACGAAACAATAACATGCACTTGGGACAAAAAACAACAAAAACAAATGGAGCCAGTTTTAAAGAGATGTTGGTCTCTTCCTCTAAAATGCTCATTTCTTTATCTTTTTCAGCAGTGACAAATACTGTATTTGTTGCCCATACTTTCACTACTTACAACCTGCCCCTAAAAAAGTGATGTATGTCTACCCCACAGTCCTGTATTGGAAAAGCATTGTCGAGTTATAATAAGGTTGCTAATTTGAGTAAGGTTTATTGGCTACCTATTGTGAAGTTATGAGCCATACTTCAGCAGTTACCCAACATGAGGCCCAGCAGATTAATGCTGATCAATGCTGCAGGAGCACAAACTCAGTGACGCAGCAGCGAAGATGTTGATCAGTGCAGAAAGCTCTATTTATGTTTGCTGGTAAACTACTGCATGTGCTGTTTAAAGAATGCAGAATGGAAACAACACAACACACAGAAAACAGCCTTCACTGGTTTTCTTGCAAATGATTTTGGACACTTGTAGCCCTTTGTGAGTCAACCTGTGGTTCATGAGGCAACAAATTGCAACCAAGCCATAAAATCTCCTCTGGGTTGTTAAGCCAGGGCAGTCGCTGCATGGTCATCTGGTAGACATTAGAGCCAAACCACCAAAATCACATGGGCTTCACGCAAACACAGACCCAACGCTGGAAACCCCAAACAATCCTGACAGCACTCACAGGGCACGATTTAGATTTAGATCCTAATTTGTCCACCATATTTTGATGAAAAGCATTCCTCACTGGATGAATGCCTCGTGTTGTCTGTCCAGGTCAGGGCGCCTGTGGAACAGGTAGAACTCAGGGATATTTTGAGGTTTTCTATGATAGATTGGGGCCACAAATGTGGGAGACTGAATAATACACAAAGTGCATTCCATATTGATGGTGGAATTGCTTTCTGTTTCTATTCAACATCAATGCCCTGCTTCAAACAGGGAGACATGGCAAAAATGGGTTGCAGTCAGGACAATGTTGCAAAACAACCATGTTTCCAATCTGGAGCTCTCCAACAGATATCAATTCAGGTGAAAGTAAACCATGTGTTCTGTCCCTTCAAGCGGTAAATCTTAGGCTGGACTCTCTGACTTGTTTGGATTTAGTTTTACATTCTGTTGCAGAGATATGACCCTTTGACTTTCATCACACCTCAGAGAGAAGGACAAAGATAGAGAAAGAATGCACACCGGGCACATCCTTCATTTACTGTATATGTTCATTGAGAAATTGTCAACAAACATCTATCTATACAAGTAATGCTTTGAGTTAAATGACAGCATCAGCACGCTAAACATGCAAACAATGACAATGTTGACTGGTTGATGTTTCACAGGCCATGTTTCCATGGTTACAATCTTAGTTTAGCATGACAGCATGCTAACATTTGCCACTCTCCAATGTAGGTTTTTAGTCTTCAACCAAAGTATTGGTCTAGTTAAGGATCGTGACCTGATTATGGTGCTAGATGAAAAGTCAGGAGATCACCAAAGTCAGTAAGATGCATCCTCTGGGGACCCTGAATGTATGTACAAACATTCAGGGCAATCTGTCCAACATTAGGCTAAAACAACAGAAGATTAATATAAAATAAGATATCTTATCCCTCATTGATGTCTTAAGTGTGCACAATTTAAGATTTTTTTTACTTTTAAAGAACTTTTGGACAAGACCAGATTTTAAAGAAATGGAATTGTGAAGATGAATCGACTGCGACTCTGAAACACACTCTTATTGTTGTCTTATTTGTCTGTGTTGAATGTAAAATTATTGAATTGTTATTAGGTCAAGTGTTGTAGCAGAAACATGAAAAACACAGTTCCGTTTAGTTTAGACCTACCTTTGTATCCGAGGACGGCCACTGCTATGGTGAGCAGGGCACAGAGCACATAGAGCAGTGCAATCGCCGCCCTCAGCGCCCAGTCATTTTTGCACTTCGTGCACTCCGTTCCCTCCTGAATTCCTGCAACATACAACAGAATTTGAGTCACAAACCGGTGTATAGTATTCAGTAGGTCTGAGCAGTAGTAACTCAAATGTTGTGCAAGTGAGTTAATAAAAATAAGGTTTTCATTAAAAAATGGGATATTGTTTCTCATTTCACAACTAAGTTTATTTCTGCATGTCTAAAGTGGGACACGTTGTGCCTTTCTTCAGCCAAGTCTCAATTGAAAACATTTGCCCTCGTGAATGAAATACTCAATATGAAACTCTAAAAAACGCTGCACATGTGTTCGCCATACGACCCAGAAACCGAGACAAAACAGTACCATTACACTTTCTGTGTCATTCCTCGTTGCCATCCAACCTAAAATCACAGTGCAGTGAAATCTTTGGGCATTCATGTCACAGATGTTCACTAGTCTTAACCCTTTGTCCTGAAAACAACCAACACCATGTGATACAATGCTAAACATCATACTATAGGCAGGATGTTTACTTGATTTCATTAGAACTGACCATGTAGACTCTGGCGAGCAGAGTGAGAGGGCAGCTGGTGCTTCACAACGGGCAACAAAGATCTTTGTGCAGATGGAACAAAACTTAAATCAGATTATAGAGGAAGAGAGAATTTCTGGAAACATGTAACACTTTATCAGACGGGAAGGTGGACTGAGCAAAAACAAAACGGTTTATCGTACACTTTTAATGTTGTAAGGACGAACTTGTCTAAAAGTGACAGTGAGTAGGATTTGGTGGTATCCTGCGGTGTGGGTGCAGATTGCAACCAACTGAATACTCCTCTGCTGACCCCTCCCTTTTCCAAATGTGCGTAACGTGAGCCGCCGAGTGCAAAACCATGGTAACGCTGTTCACCTCACTCCAAGGCCATCCTTACCGAAATAACACTATCTTAGGAGCAGCGGATGTTTTTTTCAGCTAATCTGGCGGTTTGATTACAACCTGTCTGATCACTTGACTGCTTGTGCACCATTTTGCATTTATTTAATTTACAAAACATGGCCCTTGGCAGTTTGGGTAAGTCAATTGTTGACATCTTCACATGACTTCAGAGTATCAGAGGCCTGTCTCTGTCCCTTTAAGTCATGTCACCCGTGATGGGACCGAATGTGTAGCCACAACAGGCTCCATCCTTCCCAGCAGTGGGCCCGGACCACCAGAGGGGTACTGGACCCACACATCTGTGCAAACATCACATCTGACCACCTCAAAGGGGCCCAGCTTTGGACCCAGACACAGATATGCAGGCCGCTGTTGTCCTTATGTATGCCGAGCGCCTCATGATGGGAGCCAGTGTGGCGAGCTCCATCAGAGAACCCCCCCCACACCCCCCCCACTGGTCCTGACCACATGCTGCTTAAAGGACAACATCACACCATGTAAACAAGCAGCAAGCAGCCGACCTTTCGCAGGTTCTGGGTCAAGAGCTAAGCGGGGGGTGGCATTTCTGTGTTCATTAGAGTTTGAACATGGCGGCAGTATCATATGTGTGTATCTCCTGCTTTCAGGTTCACTGAATTTCAAATAGTTTCTCACAGTCAAACTCTTTCACCCAGACTTATTGCCCTTCATACTTCAATAATTAACTTTTCTACAAACCCCCCACTATTAACATAAAACAACAGATTCTTCTCGGTACAATGCCCTCACATACCTTTATTATTACATGTCAGGTTGTGTCGTAAAACACAGAGCATGAATCGTAAAAAGCATCACCGTGACATTTCTGTCATCAGTCGAGTCGTCTCAAATTATGCTGATGACTGCACTCATGTTGATGTTTTTCAAGAAAAAAAGACCAAATCTCTGGTTCTGCTGCATCAATTTAGAAAACGTTCTATTGTGAATCTGACATTTTTTAGGAGTAAAATTCTGAATCCGTGGTGAGGCGGCAGCAATGGAAAATGCTCCGTCACCTTTAGATTCTGACTTGGAACATATGGAGGTTCAAGCTATTTGGTCATCATGGGAAACGTTTGTGTACGATGGTAAAATCATAACCAAAGATGAAAGAGCCTTAACTGTCAGGACTTCAACTTTAAAGTTTCTTGAGAAAACAACATCACATACTGGGCTGTAGAACGTGGCAGGGACAGGTTTCTCACAGCAATGATGCTTCCACTGAACTAACATGGTAACTCATTCTGGGCAGAGCAGCCAGTGGCTCCATTCAGGGTTGCAACATTTCCCTACTGGAGTGTTTTCTGTTCCCCTAATAGGGATTTTGCATAAGCAATGCAGTAATGATGTAAGTAAGTAGCTGCACTATTCTGTTAAACGGAATCCAGAAAGAAAACAAAACTACTGGGGTTCTTTATTCATACTAGATGTGGGCCAAGTAGTTATTTGATGGCTTCCTTTGTCATAATTACATCCACAGAAGATGATAAAGGTATGATAATGTAATAATTATGGTAAATTATAGTAAACATTTCTGAGACTGAACTCCTACTGTCTATCCTGATGATGATAACCTAGCACGCTACATACAAGTCTTGGACAATCAAAATCATCATATACAATCTTTTCAAAGCAAATTCCAAGGGTCATGAACATTTAGATGGAAGAAAATCTTCTTTGCGTGTGCTGCCTACTCAGCTTTGTGTTACAAACCCCCATGATGTACCTCACTAGCGTGCCATGTTTCATATCCAAAGGGCTATTGAGACTTCGTGCTGTCTACGCATAAACTACCAGAGTACATAAACATGCTGACACATACAGTACATGTCATGAGCTGACTGAAAACACATCGTTTAGCTAAACGACCCAGTGCAGAACGAGGGGGGGGGGGGAACTTAGCCTGTTGAGAGTTAAGGAGCTGGACGGAAGCCAGGACGTCCCAATCAGCAAACTGGAATCCAGCTAGATTATTCCCAAGACGTGCATAAATGCAACAAAAGTGTAGAAAGAGCAGAGGTAACATGGAGAATACTGTACCTAACATATCATAGCTGTCAAGTGAGAACCATGTAGCTCCAGCTTTGGCCTGTTTTTTAGTATCTACATAATCATTTATGGGCTGAGTTTATGGACCAAGACAAAATAAATATCCATGAGATATCATGACTTTTGGTACCGACATTCATGTACAACAGCGCCATCATCAGGTCAAGATTAATTTATCAAATACTTTGCTTTATGACCTACTACCTGCAAACTAATGACACCATCAGCTGTACTTCATATTTAGTGATAGCAAATATTTGCATGCTAACAGGCTAAACTAAGATGTGAACATGGTAAACATAATACCTAAACATATGAAAATGTGCATGTGAGCATGTTATCCTGCTGATATACGTATTTAACTCAAATGACCATTGTGTTGAAGTATACAGTACTCAGTAGTCATGATAAAATACAACAAAGACACTGTTTTGAAGCAACAGCACCAACATAGATATCCCTGGAGCATCTCCTGGAATGTGACCAGCGTGAGAGTTGCACAAATAACTCATACTAAGCAGAAGTTATGGTCAGTTGTGGTTCAGCTTTGTCGATGTTAATTATCTCACAGCTGAGAAACTGAAGAATAAAAGCAGAGAAACAGCGACAACGAGAAAAGAGGCAGAGCGAGTAAAGATGGGGGCAGTCCAGAGCGGTGTCTGTAAAACAGCTGTATTTCATTTGGACTCTGAGTCAGTCAAAGAAAAAAAAAATTCCCAACACTTATTCCCTTATTCCATGTACCTGCCATGAGACTTGCCTGCAAGCCTAGTCTCACTCCTGGCTGGAAACTTCCATGGCAACACAAAGAAAGCCTGTACAGACTAGAGCCTTTTTGTGTGAAGACTCTTTGTGCAGAGTGTTAATACTATGTTATATACAGTAACTGGGTGGCTACCACAGCCGGATGTGGTCATACAGACAGGCCATGCCTCTCCACTCCACCTGGATCAAGTCTGACGGATTACAATGCTGCCAAATGCTGAACTTTCGACTCACATTGCGAAAGGGAATACACATATTTTTGTTTTAAGTAGTTACTTACTACTATGTGGTATTTTTCTCCAAATGTACAAACTGTCAAAAGTACACTTACATCTAATTGTGGCTCAAGTTACAGTTTGTAATTTCCGTAATCAGCCTCACTGAAACAATTTGATTTAAAAAACTTGCCTCAACAAACCAAAGCAGACATAAAAATATATATTCCACAAATCACAGTGGATCACTGAAGATGAAATGCAATTTTCAGACACACAATAATAATAATGTTTTGTTTTTTTCATTCCTGAGTTAATTTGCCTCATTACTCCAACCCACTTGAATGAAGACTTTCAATAAATTCGTAATTCAGAAATATAATACTGCTGTCTTGGCTAGGCATAAGATTCCCATTCAAAAATATCTCATGTATAGTTGAAGGTATGGACAGATGTGTCCATGTTCTACACTTGAATTTAGGTAAATAAAATGACTTAATGGATTAATGGCCTTCTCCTTTGCAATACAATGCAATTTAGACAGATAAGATTTATGTAATTATACTTATTAGTCTTCCCCAGTGCAGCTTGGGCTTGAAGAACTTGTACTTCCGGCTTCTTTCTTGAGACAATGTTGAACCTTTAATTGAGCTAACAATGTGCACTGTGGTCGTGGTCGTGGTGTCCCCCTCTGGCCTTTATAGCTACCCCAGTAATAACAGCCGCCAACTGGAATGTTAACAAGTAAACACTCTCAAACAGGGGAAGTTACCACTAAGACAAATTACTAAGACATTAGGGTCCCTGAATTGCTGAGCTTGCCTGGGCCGTGTTTCTTTTCACTCGCTGCTAACAGGTTTATGACACTTTAAATCGGGCCCTGGTCCTCTACAACATCTGGACCTTGTTACAGTAGAGCCAAATCAAAGGACACATGCAAACAGTTGATACATAATCCCCTCATGCCTAGCATCATAAGAATAAAGGGTGCGTTTTTTTAAAAACTTTGTCTTCTGTGGGCTATTTCGGGTGTTTTTATAAGAAACCTTCACCGTGGTACTCACGATGAGTA